GAAAAAAAGACATACAAAAAGAGACAGAGGCAAGAGCAGCAGGGAGAAGACAAACGGAGACAGAAGAGACAAGAGACACAAAAGAGAGAGGAGACAGTAAAAGAGACAACAGAGACACTTGTCTCTCTTTCTCTCACCTGCGCATTCTCTACATCTCTGCCCTTTTGAAAGGACAACGTGTGCACCATCCACTCCTCATCGTTGCGCTCCTAAACCCCACAAACCCTAAACCCTAAACCCTAAACCCTAAACCCTAGACCCTGAACCCTAGACCCTAGACCCTACACCCTCTGCAGGAAGCCATAAACCCTAAACCCTAAACCCTAAACGGCCTAAGCCTCATAGCATAAACCTTAAACCCGACAGCCTACGCCCTAAACCCTAAACCCTAAACCCTAAACCCTAAACCCTACCTTGAAGTCTTCCCTTGCATGCGCTCCTCTGCTTTCTTTGCGGGCCTCCGCACTGACAACAGTTAACATGGCCTGGGTAAGGAGATTCTCAAGCTCCATCGTCTCCACAAGGTCGGTGTTCCTGCAGCAGCAGCAGCAGCAGCAGTAGCAGCAGCAGCAGCAGCAGCAGCAGCAAAGGACGAGCAAGGAGACATATAAGGGGGGCAAACTACACAGTGCTGCATTCAGGGTATACACGCGCAGCAGCAACACAAGTAGCAGCAACAGAAGCAGCAAGCGCGGCAGCAACATTAGCAAACCAGCAGCAGTAGAAAAGGTAAGAGCAAGAGCCGCAGCAGAAAGAACATCAGCACCAAGGGCAGCAGCAGCAAGATCAGAAGCAGCAGCATGAGCAACAATATCAGTAGCAGCAGCAGCAGCAAGACCAGCAGCCAATTCAGCAGCAGCAGCACCAAAATCATCATTAGAAGCAGCATGATAAGCAGCGGCAACAGCAGCATAAAGAGCAGCAGCAGCAGCAAGAGCAGCAGCAGCAGCAAGAGCAGCAGCAGCAGCAGCAAGAGCAGCAGCAGCAGCAGCAAGAGGGTCACCAAGACTTTGATTTGTCTGTCACTCGAACGTCTGCAAATCGCCGAATTATTTTCTGCATTTTCTCCACGCCCTCAGCCAACACGGGCCCTGTACGAAATACTGCTGCATGGTCTTGCATCGTCTGCATGCAGCAGCAGCAGCAGCAGCAGCAGCAGCAATTGCACCAGCAGCAGCAAGAGGAATATGGGCAGCAGCAACACCAACCCTGGCTGGAGATGCAGAAGAACCAACAAAAAACACTTCTTAAAA